GTGTGTGTGTGTGTGTGTATTATGTATGTATATATGTATCTATCTATCTATACTGTGTTGATATGTTCTTAGAAAAAGAGCCACTTGGAGTTGGAACATAATAGACAAACTTTCTTTTTTATCTTTGTGCACTTGTGTATTATTTGATTGGTTATGAACAAGTTTTACATCCATAACTTTTTTTTAGGTTTTTTTTTTTTTCTTTTGGTCTTTTTTGAGACAGGATCTCATTATGCAGTTCAGGCTGGCCTTGAACTCACTTATGTGGCCCAGGCTGGCCTTGAACTTACAATGATCCTCCTACCTTAGCCTCCCAAGTGCTAGGGTTATAGGCATGTGCCACCATACTGGGCTTACACTCCCAATTTTTAAAAACCCAAGGCCGGGCGTGGTGGCTCACACCTGTAATCCCAGCACTCGGGAGACTGAGGCAGGAGGATCGATGTGAGTTTGAGACCAGCCTGGGCTACAAAATGAACTCATGGCCAGCCTGAACTGCAGAGTGAGACCCTGTCTCAAAAAGACTAAATAAATAAATAAATAAATAAATAAATAAATAAAATAAAATAAAAACCTAGAGAGACTGAAAGTAAATGCCTGACCAGAAAGACTCACATTGTTATGTGTTTCAGATACCTCCAAAAAATTAATTTTTCGACTAATTTTACCAATTTAGGTTTATATAGCATCTTCTTAAAAAATAGGTTACTGTTGCCTTTATAATCTTTCCCTTTAAACATCAGATGTGTGGGGGAGAACATTGGTGACTGAGAGTCTTACACACGTTGACCACATACTCCATACTGTGCTATACCCCAGTTCATTAACCTGCAAATATCATTTTAGGAGAGGTGGAGCAGAAGGAAACTCAATTCCAGGAAGGAAAGATGCTTTGTCCAGATTTAGAGTTCATCCTGGAGTTCAGTCCCCTGGTGATTCCTGGCCCAGTATATTCTCTTTGTTTTGTTGTTTTTTTTGTTTTTCTCCGGTACCGGGAATCAAACTCATGACCTTGCGCTTACCAGGCAGGCGCTGTGCCGCTGAGCTAGATCCCCAGCCCCCTGGCCCAGTATGAGAAAGTTAAACCACCACCAGATGAGCAGAAGATACTGGATTCATTCAGGTGGGTGAGAACCTGGGCTTCGGAGTCATAGTCTCCTTTCTGTCCTCTGGTTTTACCCTGTACTGGCCATGTGACCTTGGGCAAGATTCTTAACCTGAGTGTGGTTTCCTTGTGTGAACATGACCATCGAGTTGTAACTGTGTCGTAGGATTGCTGGAAGGCTTGGGTGTGAAGGGCCGAGATGTGGTGCTTTATTGCTGTTAGCTTTTATTGTTATTGTTGCTACTATAGCAAAGGGCGGTCCAGCGCCTGAAAGAAATTAGTTCATATAAAAGAAATCAGCAAGGAAAAGGCTGATTTTTAAATATGGATTGAAGATACAATTCCATTTCCCAGTTACTGTCTCCCTCTTTTCTTCCTTCTCCTCTTTTTTTTTTTAAGTTAAGCTTCTGTGGCTAACTGCTAACAGATGCATCACTGATTGCTCGCTAGGAACTGTAAGAAGGCCGGAGAAAATGGTCATTGTGAGAAAGGATCGGGGAGTTGTGTGGAATGGTAAATAGCAGTTATAGGCTGAGGAGTCTGAACAGTCGCTTTAGGACTGGGCAGTCTGGGAAGCCAGGGCCTCTCAGATGCTTTTTTTTTTTTTT